TTGATTCGATAAGTTTAAACATGGAGAAATTGTAAAATCGAAGAACTAAAAAATCGGAAAAAATTGAAAAATCGAAAAACTGAAAAAACTTAAAAGTGGAAAATCAAAAAATTGAAATACTGAAAAACTAATAATCGAGAAACTTAAAAATCGAAAGATTGGATAGGTGAAAAAACGAATCGAATTGAAAAAATTAAAAAACCAAAAAATTCTAAAATCGAAAAATGATAGTAAAAATTTGAAGTCGAAAAACCTGAAAATTGAAAGACCGAAAAATTTAAAAATTAAATATCGAGAAAAAAAATTATAATCCAATAACCAAAAAATGAAAAAATTCTAAAATCGTAATATTGAAATTGTGAAAAATGTTAAAAATTATAAGTGTTAATTTTTCGACTTTTCAGTTTTTCGATCTTTTATTTTAGAATATCTTTTTTTTTTAATTGTACTTTTTTCATTTTTGATTTTTCATTTTACAATTTAACAATTTTTTCAATTTTTATTTCGAAAACTTGAAAAATCGAGAAACTTAAAAATTAAAAAAAAAATTAATCAAAAGAGTGGAAAACCCAAAAATTGTACAATCGAAAAATTATAGAACCTTCCATACTGTAAAGTCGAAAAAACTGTAACATTGAGATATCCAAAAATTGAAAATTTAAAATATCGAGAGACTGAAAAATTGAAAAGTTTTAAAATTTGTCAAATTGAAAAAGAGAAAACTTTAAAAAAATATGATTATTGTTACAAAACTAGAAAAATTACAAATCAAAAATTGAAGAAACGAAAAATTTAAACTGAAAAATATAAAATAGATACTACGAAAAATTAAAAAAATCTAAAATTGAAAACTCGAAAAATTGAAAAATGCAAAAATTGAAAAATTTCACATTGAAAAAAAATTATAAAATACAACATTGAAAGAACGGCAAATTGAAAAAATAAAGAAAACGAAATGATAAATTGCAATAAAATTCGATAAACTGAAGATATGAAAAATTGAAAAATCGAAAAATTGAAAAATTAATCGATGAAAGTTGAAGGAACAAAAAAAAAATAGGGAAAAATTGAAACATTACAAATAGAAAAAAATATAAAATCGGAACATCGAAAAGTTGACAAAATAAAGCAAATAAAAACCAAAATGAAAAATTAAAGAATCAAAAAACTGAAAAACAGAAATTGAAAACTAGAGAAATTTTAAACCCAAAAACTGCAAAATCAAGATTGAAGAAACAACAGAATGAAAATTTCGAAGTTTTGATTTTAAACTTTTTGGTTTTTTCATTTTTGATTTTTCATTTTAAAATTTTGGAATTATTCCAATTTTTGATTCGAAAAGTTGAAAGATGGAAACATCGAAAAATTAAAATTCGAAAAACCAAAAAAATTGGAAAAAATTGAAAAATCGAGAAACTGAAAAAACGAAAAATGAAATATTGAAAAATTGGAAAACTAAAAAAATCGAGAAACTTAAAAAACGAAAGATTGGAAAGAAGAAATAAGGAATCGAATCGAAAAAATTGGAAAACCCAAAAATTATGAAATCTAAAAATTGAAAAATGGAAAAATTCTAAAATCGTAAAATTGAAAATGTGAAAATTTTTAAAATTATAAGTGTCATTTTTTCGATCTTTTATTTTAGAATATTTAATTTTTTTATTTTTAGTTTTACAATTTTTTTTAATTTTAGATATTTCATTTTTGATTTTTTATTTTACAGTTTTGCAGTTTTTTTCAATTTAAAACCAAAAAATCTAAACGAGGAATCGAAAAGTTTAAAAATGAAAAAAAAACCGAAAATTTAGAAACGCAAAAAATGGAAAAACTATAAATCTGAAACATCAGAAAATTGAGAAATCGAAAAATTAAAAAAATCGAAAAGTTGAAACATCGAAAAACTAAAAAATCTGGAAAATATTGAAAAATCGAAAAATTCCAAATCGAAGAACTGAAGAACAGAGAAATTGAATCATTGATAAACTAAAAATCCAGACACTAAAAAATCCAAAAAATATAAATCGAAAAACTGGAAAACTCAAAAATTGTACAATCGAAAAATTATAGAATCTTCAAAACTGTAAAGTCGAAAAACTATAACACCGACAGATCGAAAAATTGAACACACAAAAATCGAAAAATATAAAAATGGAAAAACGTTAAAATCGTAAAATTGTAATTCGAAAAACTGAAGACATGAAAAATTGAAAAATCATAAATATTGAAGAATTAACAAAATGAAATTTTTATTTTATACTTTTTGGTTTTTTCATTTTTGATTTTTCATTGTAAAATTTTGCAATGTTTCCAATTTTTGATTCGATAAGTTGAAAGGTCGAGAGATTATAAAATCGAAAAATTAAAAATTGAAGAAGTAAAAAAAATTGAAAAATTTTAAAATCGTAAAATTGAAAATGTGAAAAAATTTTAAAAATTATGTGTTAATTTTTATCGATTTTTCAGTATTTCAATTTTTTATTTTAGGATATTTCGTTTTTTTAAATTTTTATTTTTTTTAATTTTAGAATTTCAATTTTTGTGTTCTCAATTTTTTGTTTCTCAATTTTTGATTTTTCAGTTTTTATAATTCTTGATTTCAATTTTTGGATTTTTCAGTTTTTTCAAAATTAAATATCGCGAAAATGAAAAATGAAAAAAAAAACATTGAAAAGTGGAAAAATTCTAAAATTGTAAATTTGAAAAAGTGGAAAATTATAAAAATTATAATTATTACAACATATTTAAAGTGAAAACTAGAAAAATTGCAAATAAAAAATAGAAGAAACGAAAAATTGAAAAATCGCGAAAGTGAAAGAGCTAAAATTGAAAAAACGTAAAATTAAAAAATGTAAAATTGAAAAATTCAAAAGTTAAAATTTTTACACTAAAAAAAAAAGAAAAATTATAAAATTAGGACATTGAAAAACCGAAAAATGGAAAAAAATAAAAAAGCCGAAATAAAAACTGCGAATCGAAAAATTGAAGACATGAAAAATTGAAAAACTTGTGAAATTGCAATTCGATAAATTGTAACACCTAAAAATTGATAAAAAAAATATTTTTATGGTTAATTAAAAATTAAAACTCTAGAGTTCCATATTGTCGAATTGAAGAAACAAAAAAAATGTGAAAAATTGAAATTAAAAAAATTATAAAATAAATTAGGACATTGAAAAATCGAAAAATTTAAAAAATAAGGCAAATAAAAAACCGAAACCAAAATTGAAAAGTGGAATAAATTAAAAAGTTTTAAAATCCAATAATTGAAAAATGGAAAACTTTTGTAATTGAAAAAGTAAAGTATTTTAAAAATTATTGTTATTCTTACATATAGAAAATGAAAAATGTGAAAATTGCTAACAAAAATTAAAGAACCGAAAAATTAAAAAAATTATGAAATTGAAAAATTTTAAAGTGGAAAAACGAAAAATTAAAAAAATTAAAAATGACATCTCGAAGAGTTGCAGATCGAAAAATGGAAAAAAATGAAAAATTGAAATTGAAAAAACAAAAAATCATAAAATCAGAAAAATTATGAAATTGAAAAATTTTAAATTGGAAAAACTGAAAAATCGAAAAATTAAAAATTGAAATCTCGTGAAATTGCAAAACACAAAAATTAAAACATCCAAAAGATGAAAAATCGAAAAACCGAATATCGTAAAACTGAAGAAACAAAAAAAAAATCAAAAATTGGGAAATTAAAGATTCGAAAAATTGAAAAATTAAAAATTCAAAACTTCAAAAACTTAAATCAAAAAATTGAAAAATTCAAAAGTTGAAAAATTGAAAAACTTAAACTTGAAAAATTGCAAATCGAAAAACTTAAGAAATAAAAAAATTAAAACTTGAGGAATTGAAAAATTGAAAAGTCGAATAAATGGAACAATTTAAAAGCCGATATATAATTGAAAAATGAAAAAATTGTAAAATTGAAACACGAAACTGAAAAATCTAAAATTGCAAAAACGAAAAATTAAAAAATCTAAAAATTGCAAATCGAAAAATCGAAGAATCGAAAAATTGAACAATCGTGAATCTGAAAAATCCAGAAATTAAAAAATTTCACATTGAAAAAAAATGAAAAATCATAAAATAAGACCATCGAAAAACCGAAAAATCGAAGACATGAAAAATTGAAAAATGAAAAATTGTGTCATCCAAAAGTTGGAAAATCGAAAAATTGAATATCTTAAAATTGAAGAAACAAAAAATGAAAAATTAAATTGAAAAATAAAAAATTATAAAATCTGGTCATTGAAAAAATAGAAAAATTTAAATATAAAGCAAATAAAAAGCCGAAACAAAAAATTACAATTCGAAAATTGAGGAATAGAAAAATTGAATAGTGGAATAAATGAAAAAGTTCTAAAATCCAATAATTGAAAAATGGAAAAATTTTATTGAAAAAGTGAAATATTTTAAAAGTTATTATTAAGTATTACATATTTAAAATGAAGAATGGAAAATTACAAATCAAAAATTTGAAAAAACGAAAAATTACAAATTAAAGAAACTCAAAACGAAAAATTGTAAAATCCAAAAATTGCGAAAAATTGAGAAATTGAAAAAAAAACTCGAAAAATTGCAAAAAAAGAAAAATTGAATGATTCAAAAATTCCAGTCAAGAAGGCTATTTTTTACTTTATAGGGATTATCAGAGAACAAAAATCGTAAACAATTGTTATAATTTTCCAAAGAAGGGGATTTGTCGGGCTGTACTTCAGGGCCGAGGGATGTTCGACTCTCTACTTCTACGTTTTCTCGACCTTGCATGACCCCTAGAGTACGAAGAAATAGGTCTCCCGTTTCTGTCTGTCTGTCCGTCTGTCTGCCGTGCCGGATTTTTATTAGACAGACAATCTCCGAAAGTACTGGACCGATTGTTGTCAATTGTTTTTAAATGAGAATAAATATCCCGCCACCAGACACATAAAATTCGCAACATTTTTGACGATTACCAGACCACCGAAAGTACAACTTCCTAACCTCTTGTAAAGTTTTCTCGATTCCTCATCTTTCTACCACGACGACCACCTCGAAGGCCTAGTCAGGGTTACACGAATGATGTTACACTACAAATACCCCCGATATTTAGAAGACGGAGCCCTGGCATTAACCTCATCACTACCCACCATCTACAGTAGCGTCGCGAGCCCCCTCGTGGTAGTACAGCACCTGTGCAGACAATTAGGGCTACCACTGGCTTGCGTTAGACCAGTACCTGTGAACACACACTTCGGTAAGTTTATAGTTCCCAAAACGTCAATATAATGACTGTTGACAGGCTCACAGTACACCATGGACGTCGCCTCGTTGCAAAAAATGCTAGCCGATGACGTTAGTGCAGGGAGAGCCCCCTTGATTGTCATAGCCGATGCCGGGACTCCAATCACGGGCCACGTTGACAACATCACCAGAATTAAGGAACTGTGTAGGCTTCACGACGCTTGGTTGCATTTAAGGGGGCACAGTTTAGCAGCTTTGGCTTTACCTAATTATCAGAGAAATGGACATGTATGTAATAAATGGGTCTTAAAAAGTCTGTGTCTTAAAAATGTTTTCAGATTCCTCCAGTTGCTGACAGTTACACGTTATCTTTAGGTAGTTGGCTTGGTATTCCTGGCTTGCCCATGGTCGTATCCTTGTCAATTTTTTTTTATGTTGGTATTGCGGTGACACTTTATTTGACATAAATGTCAAACATTAAATTTCAAAGACTGCTAGATGAGTGATTTTCTTTAATGACAGACAGACTTTGTATAGGCTTTGGGAGTCTTCATCTAATGCCAATCGCAATAAACAAGTGGGGGCAACCCGAGAAAGCACTCTTCCACTATTAGCAGGCTTAAACAACGACCATCAAGGTCGGCGGATTTTGGCTTTACCGCTATGGGCGGCTTTACAAGGCTTAGGCAAAGACGGCGTCCACTCTAGAATACGGGACGATTTCCTTTCCAGCGAGAGGCTATGGGCAGCTTTAGACCGCTACCGTCACGTCAGAGTTTTGGTAACTTTATCCCCGTCAAGTTTCCAGGTTGGTACTAATTGACACTTCCAGAGTCAAAAACCCGGCGGTGAAAGCGGCAGTTACACAGTCTCAGAACTGATATCCAAACCAGCTAACATAAATGTAAGTAGTGCGATTTGAGCCCCTTTTAGGTTTTAATAAGACTGCGCCCCCCATCCAGATGCTGTTCGAATCGACCGCCTGCTGCGTAGTCTTCCAATTCACCCCCGAACTGAGCGAAGGCGAAACCCTCACTAAAGTGCCTCCGTACTACGACAAGCTCAACTCCTGGCTGGGGCAGATCCTCCAGCTGGACGCCCCCCAGGTGCCCATCGACATCTGCGAGTTGGAGAACGTGGGGGTGGTGCTGCGGTTTTGCCCCTTCGAAAACTCGTCGGGGCAGCAGCCGAGCACCGAGGAAATCCAGGGGTTTGTGCAATGTCTGGAGCAGCAACTGGTGATCCTGAGGGCGACTATCCAGCACAAGGAAACTTTTATTAAGCTGGTTTCGGAGTCGCCGGTTCTGAAAATCGTGGATTTGCCGGATTGGGCGGGGCTGGGGGGCGTCAGGTACGCCCCCGAAGGGTGGGAGCAGCTTCTGACTGATCAAGCTAAGGAGGAGCTGAATAATTTGAACATGGCACTGGTGGATTCGTTGAGGTCTACTGATTCGGCGTTCTCGCTGGGAGAGGGCGCTGATGGGCTGATGTGTGTGCGGTTCGGGATGTTGACGCCGCAGTCGGATGTCGAGGAGTTGCTGAATTTGGTGATCAGGGTGGGACAGTCGGTGGAGGAGAATTCGAGGTGAGTGGCTCAGTCGTGAAAGCGATGAATAAGTATGGTCGCAGGATGGACCCTTGAGTTGTTAGTAAAACAGTATTTTTTAAAATTTTTTAAAATGACATCCAATATTTTTATTTTTTGATTTTTCAATATTACAATTTTTCGATATTGCAAATTTTCACTTTGCTGTATTTCAATTTCTCAATTTTTAATGTTTGAATTTTTCAGCTTTTTCGATTTTTAGGATTTTCAATTTTTGAAATTTTCGTTTCTTCAACTTTTCAAGTTGTTTTCCAATTTTTAGATTTTTCATTTTATACTTTTTTGTTTTTTCATTTTTGATTTTTTATTTAGCAATTTTTCCAATTTTTGGTTGAAAAAGTTGAAAATCGGAAAACTGGATAAACAAAAAATTGCAAAATCGGAAAAGTGGAAAATCGAAGAAACTAAAAATTTAATAATAATAATAATAATAATAATACGTTTATTCATTCCAACAGACGTTAGTCTATGGTGGACATGTATACACAAAAAGACATTAAATTTAGCTTAAACTAAACTTACAATTTAAAAAAAAATCTAAAAAAAAAAAAATTAAATCTAACATCAGAACAAATATTATGTACATATATTATTGTGCATATCGTGCTAATAACTTTTTTTTGAAAGATGCTTTATTAAAATTAGCGTGAAAAATATCAATGCTATCGTCTAAAGTACAGTTATTATAAAGTCTAAAACATGTAATTAAGGGGCTATTAAAGTGATGATAAGAATTTGGAATTTGATAGTAAAAAGTGGATGGATTTCTGCACAATAAACGAGGAACACAAAAGTTAATATTATTTAGTAACGCTGGACAGAATATATCACCACGCACCAATTTCTGCAAAAATACAAAACAAGCAATATTTCGTCTATACTCGAGAAAATTTTCATTCACTATATTAAGAAGAGCTCTCTGGTTACAATGACTAACAGGATAACAGTTGAACATTTTAAAATACAGATACTTAGCAAATTTCCTGTTAACGTTTTCTATAATATTAATATAAATTTGGTGATGAGGTCTCCAAATTATAGAACAGTATTCTAACTTTGACCTAACTAGACTATAATAAAGCTGTTTAATACATAAAATATTATTAAATTCTTTAGTATTTCTACAGATGAAGCCAAGTGTTTTGATAGCTGAATTTGTTATATCAATGATATGAGGAACAAATGACAATGCAGAGTCTACAATTATGCCTAAATCGCGTATTTGATTACAGTTTTCTAGCAAAGTTCCATTAATATTGTAATAAAAATTAAAATTAGTGTCTTTCCTGGAGAATGTAATTTTTCTACATTTTTTTTTATTAAGGCTTAACTTATTCTGTTCACACCACAGCGCTAATTTATCTACATTATCTTGTAAAACTAAACAATCTCTGTTCGTTTTTATTACTTTAGCTATTTTTAAATCATCGGCATATATAAACGCTCTACAACTAATAACATTTAGGACATCATTGAAGAAAACAGTAAATAACAGTAAAAATTTAAACATTGACAAATTAAAAAACGAGAAACTTTAAAATCGGTAAAAATTGATGAGCCGAAAAATTGGAAAAATAGAAAAAACGAATGGACTAAAAAATTAAAACTCGAAAAATTGAAAAATCGAATAAATGAAAAAGTTTTAAATGTCAGTAATTGAAAAATGGAAAAATTCTAAAATAGTAAAGTTAAAAAAGTGCAAAATTTTGAAAATTATAATTATTACATATTTAAAATGAAAACTAAAACTAGAAAAATTGCAAATAAAAAATTGAAGAAACGACAAATTCAAAAATCGAGAAACTGAAAAATCTAAAATTGAAGCCTGAAAAATTGATGTTCGGTGTTTCAGTGTTTTCACTTTTCGGTTTTTTTTATTTTATGATTTTTAAATGTCTCAGTTTTTTATTTCCCGATTGTAATTTTCGTTTTTTTCATTTTTCAGTTTTTCAATTTTTCAATTTCTCAATTTTTTGACTTTTCGGATTTCTCAATTTCTCGTTGCTTCAGTCTCCGATTTGTAATTTTTTCATTTTATGTTTCTTGTTGTTTCAGTTTGTAATTATTATTTTAATTTTTCGATTTTTCAATTTCTCAATTTTTAATTTTTTAATTCCTTGATTTCCCAGCGTTTTGATTTTTCAACTTGCAAATTTTTCTTTTATTAATTTTTCAATTTTTCAGTGTTTCAATGTTTCCACTTTTCGTTTTTTTGATGTTTTGATTCGTTAAATTTCTCATTTTTTACTTCCCGATTGTAAATTTCTTTTTTTCATTTTTCGGTTTTTCGATTTTTCAGTGATCCGATTTTTCAATTTGTCTATTTTTAAATTTTCGGTGTTCTTAATTTCTCGGTCCTTCAATTCTCCGATTTGCAATTTTCGACTTTTCAGTTTCTAAATACATATTTTAATTTTTCGATTTTTCAATTTTTCAATTTTTGATTTTTTCAATTTTTCACTTTTCAACTTGCAATTTTTTCATTATTAATTTTTCAATTCTTCGGTGTTTCAGTGTTTTCACTTCTCGTTTTTTTGATTTTTAAAATTTCTCAATTTTTTATTTCCGGATTGTAATTTTCGTTTTTTTCATTTTTCGGTTTTTCAATTTTTGAACTATCCGGTTTTTTAATTTTCGGATTTGTCAATTTCTCGTTCCTTCAATTCTCAGATTTGCAATTTTCCATTTTGTAATTTTTCGACTTTTCAGTTTCTAATTACTCAATTTTTCAATTTTTAATTTTTTAATTCCTAGATTTCCCAGCGTTTCGTTTTCTAAATTTTGGTTTTTTCAATTTTACAATGTTTCAATGTTTCCACTTTTCATTTTTTTGATGTTTTGATCCGTTAAATTTCTCAGTTTTTTACTTCCCGATTGTAAATTTCGTTTTTTTTATTTTTCAATTTTCGGTGTTCTTAATTTCTCGGTCCTTCAATTCTCCGATTTGCAATTTTCCATTTTATAACTTTTCGATTTTTCAGTTTCTAAATACATTTTAATTTTTGGATTTTTCAATTTCTCAATTTTTGATTTTTTCAATTTTTGACTTTTCAACTTGCAATTTTTCCATTATTAATTTTTCAATTTTTCGGTGTTTCAATGTTTCCACTTTTACTTTTTTTGATTTTTTAATTTTTTTGATTTTTAAAATTTCTCAAATTTTTATTTCCCGATTGTAATTTTCGTTTTTTCCATTTTTCGGTTTTTCAATTTTTCAATTATCCGATTTTTCAATTTCTCGTTCTTTCAATTCTCCGATTTGCAATTTTTACATTTTATAATTTTTCCAGTTTACAGTTTAGTTTTTCGATTTTTCAATTTCTCAGCGTTTAATTTTTTTTGAGTTTTTGATGTTTCAATTCTTAGACTTTTAAAATTTTCTGTTTTAAAAATTTTTGGATTTTTCAGTTTATCGTTTCTTTATTTTCTTTTATTTTTCAAGTTTTCAATATTGTAGGTATTTTAATTTTTTATTATGCAGTTTCTCTAGTTTGAATTTTCCAGTTTTATCACTTGAAAATTTTAATTTTTTCGACTTTCAGTTTTTCGATTTTTTATTTTAGGATATTTATTTTTTCTAATTTGTTATTCTTCAATTTTTCATTCTTCATTTTTTTGTTCTTCAATTTTGCGTTCTTCAATTGTTGATTTCAATTTTTCGATTTTTCAGTTGTTTTTTCAAAAAGAGCGAGAAATAGAAAAATTAAAAATCGAAAAATTGAAAAATCGAATAAATGAAAAAGTTTTAAATTCCAAATTGTTGTGAAAAATTGCAGGAACGAATAATTAAAAAATCGGGAAACTGAAAAATTTAAAATTAAGCAAAACGAAAAATTAAAAAATAAAACTGAAACCCGAAAAATTGAAAAATGCAAAAATTCATAAATTTCACATTGAAAAAAGAAAAGTTTTTGAATTTTTAATTTTTCAATTTTTGATATTTCAATTTTTGAATTGTCAAATTTAGAATTTAGAATTTTTGATTTTTTTAGTTTGTGATTTTTCCATTATTAATATTTTAATTTTTCGGTGTTTGAACGTTTCCATTTTTCGTTTTTTTTGTTATGTTGTTTTTTTAATTTTTCAGTTATCCGATTTCGCAATTTCTCGTTCCTTCAATTTTCCATTTTATAATTTTCCGACGTTTCAGTTTCTAATTATTATTTTAATTTATCGATTTTTCAATTTCTCAATTTTTAATTTTTTAACTCCTCGATTTCACAGCGTTTCGTTTTTTTGAGTTTTTGATGTTTCAATTCTCAGACTTAAAATTTTCCATTTTAAATTTTTTTCGTTTTTTTATTTTATCGTTTCTTCATTTTCTTTTTTTTTCAAGTTGTCAATATTCTAGGTATTTTAATTTTTTGGTTCTTCAATTTATCTCTTTGGATTTTCCGATTTTTCCACTTTTCAAAATTGCAATTTTTCGATATTTCAGTTTTTCGTTTCTGAATTATTTAATTGGAATTAGATTATTTAAAGATGGCCCATAGACCCGGAAATGACCAGCATTCATTTTTAGATTATTATTATTATTATTTCTCGATTTTTCAATTTCTATAAAATTTAATTTTTCAAGTTTTTAGTTTTTCGATTTTTTGTTTTAGGATATTTCAATTTTTTATTTTTAAATTTAAAATTTTTCAGTTCTCAAATTTTTGTTTCTTAGTTTTTGATTTCTCAATTTTTGATTTTTCAGTTTGAAATTTTTCAATTTGTTATCTTTCAATTTGTTATCTTTCAATTTTTCGTTCTTCAATTGTGATTTCAGTTTTTCGATTTTTCATTTTTTTTTAAAATTAAATATCGAGAAACTAAAAAAAACAAAATCGAAAAATTGAAAAATCGAATAAATGAAAGCTTTTAAATTGCAATAATTGAAAAATGGAGAAATTCTAATATTGTAAAATTGAAAATGTAAATATTTTAAAAATTATAATTATAACATATTTAAAGTGAAAACTAGAAAAATTGCAAATCAATAATTGAAAAAAGGAAAATTAATAAACATCTAAAATTGGACCCCGAAAAATTGAAAAATGCAAAAATTGATAAATTTCAGATTGAAAAAAGTTGTTAAATTTTTCAATTTTTAAATCTTTTAATTTTTAATTTTTCAAGTTTTCGGTGTTTCAATGTTTCCGCTTTTCGTTTCTTCGTTTTTTTCATTTTTAAATTTCTCTTTTTTTTATTACCCGATTGTACAATTTTAGTTTTTATTTTTCAGTTTTTCAATTATCCGATTTTTCAATTTTTCAATTCTTTCAATTTTCGTATTTCTCAATTTTTCCGTTCCTTCAATTTTCCGATTTGCAATTTTCCATTTTATAATTTTTCGACTTTTCAATTTCTCAATTTTTTATTTTTTGATTCTTCGATTCCACAGCGTTTCGTTGTTTCAGTTTTTTGATTTTTCAATTCTCAGACTTTTCAAATGTTCTATTTTTAAAATTTTTCGATTTTTCAGTTTATCGTTTCGTTATTTTCTTCTATTTTTCAAGTTTTCATTATTCTAGGTATTTTTTTAATTCAGTTTCTCTATTTTGGATTTTCCGATTTTTCCACTTTTGAAAATTTCAATTTTTCGATTTTTCAGTTTTTCGTTTCGAAAGTATTTAGTCTGTAGAATAGATTATTTTAGGGCCTGCCACTGGCCCGGAAATGACCAGCATTAATTTTTCGATTATTGTTGTTATTATTTCTCGATTTTTCAATTTCTAGAAAATTTAATTTTCATTTTTTCGATTTTTTATTTTAGGATATTTCATTTTTTTATTTGTCATTTTCAAGTTTTAATTTTTAAATTTTAGATTTTTTAGTTTCAAGTTTTTCAATTTGTTATTCTTCAAATTTTTGTGCTTCAATTGTTGATTTAAATTTTTCAATTTTTCAATTTGTTTCAGAATTAAATATGGAAAAACTGAAAAATTAAACATTGAAATTTGAAAAATTGAGTAAATGAAACAGTTTAAAATTCTACTAATTGAAAAATTGAAAAATTGTAAAACTGACTTTAAAATTAGAATTATTATCACATATTTAAAATGAAAATTAAAAAAATTGAAGAAACGAAAAAACGAAAAATTGAGAAACTGAAAAATCTAAAACTGAAAAAACGAAAAATAAAACAAATTATAAATTGAAGAAATGAAAAAAATGATAAATTTCACATTGAAAAAAAAATATATATATAAAATCAGGACATTGAAAAACCGACAAATTGAAAAAAAAAAAAAGAAAAACCGAAAAACCGGAATGAAAAATTGCTATTTGAAAAACTGAAGACAAAAAATTGAAAAATTAAAAAGTGAAAAGTCGAAGAAAATTTGAAGAAATGAAAAATTCAAGAATCGAAAAACTGAAAAATTAGAAATTGAAAACTCGAGCAAATCTAAATCGAAAAATTGCAAGTTCTAAAAATTGAAGAAATAAAATGAAAAATTCATAAATCTCAAGTCGAAAATTTGAAGAAACGAGAAACTGAAAAAATTAAAATTGAAAAACAAAAAATTATAAAACTGAAACATCGAAAAATATAGTAATTAAAAAATTAGAGAAAAAAACGCAAAACAAAAAATTGCAAATCAGAAACTGAAAGATTTCGAAACAAAAACTCAACTCTTGGTTTACATATCGTAAAATCGGAAAAAAATGAAAAATTGAAATTGCATAAACAAAAAATAATAAAGTCGCAGCATTGAAAAATCGAAAACTTGAAAAAATAACGCAAATAAACCGAAACGAAAAATTTGAATAAATGAAAAATTAAAGAATTGAAAAATTGAAAACTTCAGAAACAAAAATGTTTGGACAATTGAACAAACAAAAAAAAAAAAAATGAAAAATGAAAAAATTGCGAGCCGAAAAATTGCAAAATCTAAAGATTGAAACATCAGAAAGTTGGAAAATCGAAAAATTGAAAAATTTTGAGACTGAAACAAAAAGTTGGAAAATCGCAAAACTGAAAAACTCAAAATGAAAACTCGAAGAGTTGCCTATCGAAAATTGAAGGAACAAAAAAACGAAAAATTTACAAAACAAAAAATTACAAAATCGAAACATTGAAAAATCGAAAAATTCTAGAAATAGAGAAAATGGAAAACCGGAACGAAAAATTCCAAATCAAAAAGTTGAAGAAACGAAAATTTAAAGAATCGAAAAATTGAAAAACTAAAAATTACAAAATCTCAAAATTCAAGAAAAAAAAATCGAAACAGATGTCGAAAACTTACTTTTGCGTCCTTGGCCTTGTTTTTGACCGTACCATTTTTTTTTTTTTTGTAGAAACGAAAAAAGATTTTCTAATCTCAAAACCACTTACATAACTAATTACTAATAACTAATTTTTTGGTCGCGTAAAAATTGTTGTGTGTACCTCGGCCAAAGAGAACTTTTTGGGCCTCGTCTGATTGTATGCCTCGGCCTCAAACTTCCGATCGGCCGAAAAAGTTCTTCTTTATGACCTTGATACAGAAATAACTATTATAATTTTTCAAAGAAGCGGAATTTGTTGGGCGAAATATTCTTCAACCATTTTTTTTTAACAGGGTCCTCGACTCCATGAGCGAAATCGTGAAACGCGGCATCGAGACGGCGACGCTCGACCTCCAGAAAGAGAACGAAGAGCGCTTATGGCAGGAGGGCATCCTGAGGCAGGTACCCGTGGTGGGTACTTTCGTGAACTGGTGGTCACCGAAGACCAAGGAGACCGGAGTGCGGGGACGAAGCCTGAATTTGACCCAAGGGGTCGTCGAATCCACGGAAAACATCTACAAGTACCACATGCAGCTCAGCGGCTTAAATCCGGGGGCCAAGAGCCCGCCGACCCCCCAGGTGCAAACGCCCGTGGGGGGCAGTCACTCTCGATCCAGTAGTCACGCGTCAAGTCAGGGGGTTAAGATAGAGAACGAGCGAGAGGTTCCTAAAGATAGCAGTAAGGTACAGAGTAGTAATAGGAAGAGTTCTTCACAGACTGAAACAAAAGTACTGACGCCTTAAATCTGTCATTTCGAGCTTTATTGTTGTTGATTTAGAGTTAGTCGCGTTGGAGGCTGTTGAGATGTTTTCAATTACGAACGAGGTTTCTCTTGCCGTAGGTCACATTTGTCCTGGACGGGCGGATGCACAGGTTTTTGTTTTTTGTTATTTGATAACTCTAAATTTTTTTACAGTATTATATTTTTTTACTTTCTGAAGTGTAAATAACTAGGAGTTATGTTCTTTTTAAAGTGTGTAAGGAACAATATAGTGACATGTATAACCGCGATTCTGTTCAAGTTATTGTAGTAACTTATAAGAATAGTTTGTAACTTTGTAAAATTTACTACTTTATGCAGTCTTTGTTTTTATTTTTTATTTTATAGGTTACGTTGAGTTATGTAGATGAAAGTAATAGATTTCTAATCCTCAGTATTTTTATTGATACGGTGGGATACCCTAAAGTTATTTGCACATTGTTTTATTAATATTGTACCAAAGAAGCTTAAGATGCGTTGATTTTTAATAAATTATACTATAAGACTTAACCGAATTTTAAACTTATTACTTAACTTAAAGTACCTCCTGAGAAGTAAGGTAAGAGGAAACAAATATTATTAAAAAAAAAAATAGGTTAGATGAATCTTTGTACAGTGTTAATCCTAGAAATGACAGAAATTCTAAAATTCTGACCGAATTTATGGAAAGTACCAAATATTTTAACCCTTACAAAGGATGTAAGGCTTTCAAGGTTGCAAAAGACTCTAAAGACTCCAAAACTGGGAATTTAAAAATTCTAAAGGGATTTCAGGGATTTAAAAAATTTCGAGAATTCCACAGATTCTAAATATTTAAAAATTCGAAAGACTAAAAATCCTAAAGATATAAAAATATTTAAAATTCTAGAGATACTGAAGTATCTAAAAATAATGAAAATTTAAAAGCTCTAAGATTATAGAAATTCTAGTGATTCTAGATTCTAGAGATTCCAAAGTGGTTTGAAAGATTCACAAAGCATAAAAACTTTCACGGATAAGATACACTAGAAATTGCGAATTGTAAAGACACTTAAGATTTTAAATAAACTAAAGTTTTAATGTTCTATATAAAAAAATGATCCAACAAAATCTTAAAAATTTTAAAGAACCTAGAAATTGCAGAAATTTTAGGCTTTATAAAACTCCTAGTAATTCCCAAAGTGTTCAAAATGTTCATAGATTGGAAAAACTCTAAAGGGTCTAAAGGTGCTAAGGACTTTAAGGGGTCAAAAGCTAGCTAAATTCTGTTACGAATACCTGAAAGATTCTAAAGGTTCTAGAGAAATTCCAAAAAGCCAAAATATTCTAAAACTTGTAAAAATCGCATGAACTCTTAAAATGCCAAAAATTTTAAAAATTCCAAAGACTTTAAAGAAGACAAAAATCGTGAAGATCGGAAAAATGCTTTCTTAAATTGAAAATGAACACCCTAATTATTATTATCATAAATTTTGGAGACTGTAAAGATTCTAGAGATTCCAAAATAAATAAATTTTAGGAAATCTGAAAAAATTTAGAATGTGTGAGAAAAATGAGGTAGACCTAGAAATCTTGAAAATATTGGAAAAAGTTGAATTTCAAAATTCTGATATAACTGGAGTCTGATAATTTTAGAAATTTTGCAAAACCTGAACATTCTGAAAATTTTGAAGATTTTGTAAATTACGAAAATTCCCAAAAATTAAAATAAAATAAAAAAATATTAAATCTCAAAATGTCAAAAGTTTACACAATCTTAAAGATAGTGGATATTCTAAAAATTCCAAAGTTTCCAAATATTTGAAATATTTAAACCTTTTAAAAATTCTAAAGACTTTACACATTATAAAAATCTTAGTTTTCATACACTAGAATTTGCGAATTGTAAAGACACCAAAGATGCTAAATAAACTAAAGTTCTAAATTGAAGAAACGTTCAACAAAATCTTAAAAATTGTAAAGATCTTGGAAGTATTAATGTTCCTAGAAATTATAAAAATTCTAAACTTTATAAAATTTCTACTAATTCTGAAGTATCCAAAATTTCCAAAGATTTTAAGATTCTAAGGACTCAAAGGTTTTTAAAATTCTGTTCCAAATATTTCAGAGATTCTATAATTTGTAAAAAACGCATGAACTCTTAACATGACAAAAATGTTAAAGATTCCAAAGACTCTAAACAAAACAAAAATCCTAAAAATCTGAAGAATGCTTTCTTTAATTTTTATAAATCCTACAAGTATTAGGGATCTTGAACACCCGAATTATTTTTTATTATCAGAGATTCCAAAAATTTCAAAGATTTAAAGACTCTTGGGTTCTATTAATTTTACAAAATCTGGAAATATCTAGAAAGTGTGAAAAATCTGGAAGACTTAGAGATCTTGAAAACTGAGGAAAATGTTGAATTCTGGCATATCCGAAGACTGATATTTTTATAACATTTAGAAAATCTGGAATTTCTGGATATTACTCAATTCTAGAAATTCTAAACATTTTACTGAATTTGTGATAATATTCCAAATACTGCTGTGAAAGTTCCAAGTCTTCTGTAAATTTCAAAGATTTCGAGGTTTCCAAGGGTGCCAAACCTCTAAGGAGTCTATTAATACTAAATTGATATATGTGCCCTTGCTAAAATATTAATGACCTTATCGAAAAAAAAAAAAATTTGGAAAAACTGACTATAAAAATGAAAAAACGAAGAATTCCCAAGGTTAAAGTTGATAAAAAATTTCGAAGTTATATTTGCTCGACTGTACTTTAGGGGTTAGGGAAGTTCTGTCGAAATAACTTTCAATCAATTTTTTAAAAAACGTGAAACCATCTCGAGGATCCCAACTTTTTTTTTTTAATAATGTGAAAGTTTCTCGGGGGCCCCATCTGTCTTTTTTTAAGAAAATGAAATCTTCTCGGGGGTCCCAACTGTCTTTTTTTAATAGTGTGAAACCTTCTCGGGGGCATCAAGGGTCTCTTTTTTTGAAAGCTGAAAACTACTCGGGGACCCCAATTGGGGGCCTCATGTCTTTTTTTTAAGAAGTTGAAACCTTCTCGGGGCCCCATTTGTCTTTTTTTTTAAAGAAAGTGAATCCTTCTCGGGGATCCCAAGTGTCTTTTTTTTTTAAAGAAAGTGAAACTTTCTCGGGGGTCCCAACTGTCTTTTTTTAATAGTGTGAAACCTTCTCGAGGGCCTCAACAGTTTGTTTTAAAGAATGTGAAACCTTCTCAGGGGCCCCAAGTGACATTTTTTAAGAAGCTGAAACCTTCTCGGGGACCTAATTGATTCTTTTAAGAATATGAAACCTTCTCAGGTGTCCTAAGTGTCTTTTTCTGAAGAATCTGAAACCTTCTCGGGGCCTCAAACTGTTTTTTTTTTAATAACACTATGCAACAAATTAAAAAAAAAATAAAATTCACAGAATGCACAATATTCAGTTAAAATTTCTTCCCTCAAACTCAATTGAGGATTATGCTTGAAAGAATCGTATCACATCAGGTTTCAAAATGAAAAGTGTTTATTGAATTTTTTGAAATCATACAAAATTAATAAAACAAAACTTCATTTTTCATTGAAAAAGGTCCTTTTTTTCGAACGATTGGCATTCTTATTGTAGCCAGATCTCTCAGTATCCCTCTGAAGACACCAATAGAAGTCTGCAGGCATGGGTGGATACATAAAAGCTATATTTTTACGATTAAATGCAATCAAGTGTCCCAAAAAGGAAGAAAAACAAAACACCCGTTATCTATGTTTTGTGGTGTGATATGGGTATAAAACATTTTTTTCTTTAATATATGGAGTATAGGTAGCCAACCTATCACATCAGGTTTCAAGATGAAAAGTTGAATTTTTTGAAATCATACAAAATTAATAAAACAATACTTCATTTTTCATTGAAAAAGTTTTTTTTTTCGAACGATTGGCATTCTTATTGTAGCCAGATCTCGCAGTATCCCTCTGAAGACACCAATAGAAGTCTGCAAGCATGGGTGGATACATAAAAGCTATATTTTTACGATTAAATGCAATCAAGTGTCCCAAAAAGTAAGAAAAACAAAACACCCGTTATCTATGTTTTGTGATGTGATATGAGTATAAAACATTTTTTTTCTTTAGTATATGGAGTATACCCAACCTCAAACACTATCTGAACTTTCTGTGAGTTTTTTAGTGTTGCATAGTGTAATGTGAAACCTTCTCGGGGTTCCCAACTGTCTTTTTTTAAAATAGGTGCAACTTTCTTGAGGGCTTTTTATGTTTTTTAAAGAATGTGAAACCTTTTCGGGGAGCCCAAGTTTTTTTTTTTTTTGAAAGAGAGTGAAACCTTCTCGGGGATTCCAACTGTCTTTTTTTAATAGTGTGAAATCTTCTCGGGGGCCCCAGTTCTCCATTTTAAGGTCAACCTTCTCGGGGGTCCCAACCGTTTCTTTTAAGAATATGAAACCTTTTCGAGGGCCCCAAGTGTCTTTCTCTTAAGAATCTGAAATCTTTTTGGGGACCCCAACTGTCTTTTTTTTGAAGGAGGTGAAACCTTCTCGGAGACCCAAACTATTGTTTTAATAATGTGACACTTTCTCGGAGGTCCCAATTGTCTGTTTTTAATACTGTGAAACCTTCTCGGGAGCACTAATTGTCTTTTTTTAAGAAGGTCAACCTTCTCGGGGGTCCCAACCGTTTCTTTTAAGAATATGAGACCTTCTTGGATGCCCAAGTGTCTTTTTGAAGAAGATGAAACCTTCTCGGGGACCCAAACTGTTTTTTTTAATAGTTGAAATCTTCTCGGGGACCCCAATTGTGCTTTTTAAGAAGCTAAAACCTTCTCGGGGGCCCCAAGTGTCTTTCTCTTAAGAAACTGAAATCTTCTTGGGGACATCAACTGTCTTTTTTTGAAGAAGGTGAAACCTTCTCGGGGACCCAAACTGTTGTTTTAATAATGTAACACCTTTTTGGGGGTCTCAATTGTCTTTTTTTAATATTGTGAAATTTTCTCGGGAGCACCAAGTGTATTTTTTTTAAGAAGCTGAAACCTTCTCGGGGACCCCAATTGTCTTTTTTTAAGAAGGTCAACCTTCTCTGGGGTCCCAACCGTTTCTTTTAAGAATATGAAACCTTCTTGGGGGCCCAAGTGTCTTTCTCTTAAGAATCTGAAACCCTCTTGGGGACCCCAACTGTCTTTTTTTGAAGAAGATGAAACCTTCTCGGGGACCCAAACTGTTTTTTTTTAATAATGTGAAACCTTCTCGGGGTTCCCAACCGTTTCTTTTAAGAATATGAAACCTTCTCGGGGGCCCCAAGTGCCTTTCTCTTAAGAATCTGAAACCTTCTTGGGGACCCCAACTGTATTTTTTTTAAGAAGCTGAAACCGTCTCGGGGACCCGAATTGTCTTTTTTTAACCTTCTCGGGGGTCCCAACCGTTTCTTTTAAGAATATGAAACCTTCTTGGGGGCCCAAGTGTCTTTCTCTTAAGAATCTGAAACCCTCTTGGGGACCCCAACTGTCTTTTTTTGAAGAAGATGAAACCTTTTCGGGGACCCAAACTGTTTTTTTTAATAATGTGAAACCTTCTCGGGGTTCCCAACCGTTTCTTTTAAGAATATGAAACCTTCTCGGGGGCCCCAAGTGTCTTTCTCTTAAGAATCTGAAACCTTCTTGGGGACCCCAACTGTATTTTTTTTAAGAAGCTGAAACCGTCTCGGGGACCCCAATTGTCTTTTTTTAACCTTCTCGGGGGTCCCAACCGTTTCTTTTAAGAATATGAAACCTTCTCGGGGGCCCCAAGTGTCTTTCTCTTAAGAAACTGAAATCTTCTTGGGGACATCAACTGTCTTTTTTTGAAGAAGGTGAAACCTTCTCGGGGACCCAAACTGTTGTTTTAATAATGTAACACCTTTTTGGGGGTCTCAATTGTCTTTTTTTAATATTGTGAAATTTTCTCGGGAGCACCAAGTGTATTTTTTTTAAGAAGCTGAAACCTTCTCGGGGACCCCAATTGTCTTTTTTTAAGAAGGTCAACCTTCTCTGGGGTCCCAACCGTTTCTTTTAAGAATATGAAACCTTCTTGGGGGCCCAAGTGTCTTTCTCTTAAGAATCTGAAACCCTCTTGGGGACCCCAACTGTCTTTTTTTGAAGAAGATGAAACCTTCTCGGGGACCCAAACTGTTTTTTTTTAATAATGTGAAACCTTCTCGGGGTTCCCAACCGTTTCTTTTAAGAATATGAAACCTTCTCGGGGGCCCCAAGTGCCTTTCTCTTAAGAATCTGAAACCTTCTTGGGGACCCCAACTGTATTTTTTTTAAGAAGCTGAAACCGTCTCGGGGACCCGAATTGTCTTTTTTTAACCTTCTCGGGGGTCCCAACCGTTTCTTTTAAGAATATGAAACCTTCTTGGGGGCCCAAGTGTCTTTCTCTTAAGAATCTGAAACCCTCTTGGGGACCCCAACTGTCTTTTTTTGAAGAAGATGAAACCTTTTCGGGGACCCAAACTGTTTTTTTTAATAATGTGAAACCTTCTCGGGGTTCCCAACCGTTTCTTTTAAGAATATGAAACCTTCTCGGGGGCCCCAAGTGTCTTTCTCTTAAGAATCTGAAACCTTCTTGGGGACCCCAACTGTATTTTTTTTAAGAAGCTGAAACCGTCTCGGGGACCCCAATTGTCTTTTTTTAACCTTCTCGGGGGTCCCAACCGTTTCTTTTAAGAATATGAAACCTTCTTGGGGGCCCAAGTGTCTTTCTCTTAAGAATCTGAAACCTTCTCGGGGACCCAAACTGTTTTTTTTAATAATGTGAAACCTTCTCGGAGTTTCCAACCGTTTCTTTTAAGAATCTGAAACCTTCTTGGGGACTCCAGCTGCCTTTTTTTGAAGATGAAACCTTCTCGGGGACCCAAACTGTTTTTTTTTTTTTTTAAATAATGTGAAACCTTCTCGGGAGCTCCAAATGTCTACTTTTAAGAAGCTGAAACCTTCTCGGGGACCCTAATTGTCCTTTTTAAGAAGGTGAAACCTTCTCGGGGTTTCTAACTGCCTTTTTTTAAAAAAGGTGAAACTTTCTCCAGGATCCCAAATGTCTTTTATTTTAAAGAATGTGAAACCTTATCGGGGGCCCCGACTGTTTCTTTTAATAATATGAAATCTTCTCAGTGATCCCAAGCGTCTTTTTCTTAAAAATCTGAAACCTCTTGGGGACCCCAACTGTCTTTTTTTAAAGAAGATGAAACCTTCTCGGGGACCCAAACTGTTTTTTTTTAATAGTTGAAACCTTCTCGGAAGCACCAAGTGTCTATTTTTAAGAAGCTGAAACCTTCTCGGGGACCCCAATTGTGCTTTTTAAGAAGCTGAAACCTTCTCGGGGGCCCCAAGTGTCTTTCTCTTAAGAAACTGAAATCTTCTTAGGGACCTCAACTGTCTTTTTTTTAAGGAGCTGAAACCTTCTCGGGGACCCTAATTGTCCTTTTTAAGAAGGTGAAACATTCTCGGGGGCATCAAGTGTATTTCTTTTAAGAAGTTGGAACTCGGGGTTTCTAACTGCCTTTTTTTAAAAAAGGTGAAACTTTCTCGAGGATCCCAAGTGTCTTTTTTTTCTATGGAGGTTATCACAAAAAAGTAAAATTTCGTAATTTTTCAAAGAAGAAGAATTCGTTTCAAAAGGAAGTGAAGAACCTTTCCTATACCCCAACAAGGAACCAGTTTGTGTGTTAGAGGCCCCTAAGCCAAAATTCTGGGCCTCTAATAAGAGACTCAGAGTTACTACAGGAGCCAGGAATGGTTCTTGGACAAGTACACATTGAACATTGTAGATGATTTTAATGACTAATTTTATCTAAATATATACAAAACATGAACCGCTAAGTAGGAAGATATGTAAATAGTATGATAAGAGACAAATTTGTACCTAGGTAATTTAGTTGATATTTTTTAACATTGACCTAAAAGTTTGTTAACAACCTGGTGTGCTATTCACAGATCAACTTTACGAGAGTTTTAACAACAAATCCAGTTATATTTCTTTCCATTTTGTTACAGTGGTACTGCTACAATATACAAAATATATCTGAAAAAGTAGCGTACTGTTAAGTATGACAATCAAAGGCAAAAATGACAGATGGATGAGTTAATACATATTTTCGAAGTGCTTTGTATTGAATAGGTACTTAAAGATATCAAAAGTACTTTTAAAGTACTGAACAGTCTTACGCACTTAAATATAGCAAGTATCTGAATGACGGAGATTAAAAATACCAACTTTGATAAAAACAACAAGCTACTTAACTAAAATTACATTTATTTTCCAGTACCAAATACAGTGCCCGCCCCAAAACTTAAGTATCTTCTACAATGAATTCCGGAGCTTCCTGATACTGGCGTGGCAATTGCTCCCCATCTGCGTCCTTCTTGTTAATGAAATATAATTCGATTAACTCAAGCACGACTCCGTTGGTCCATCCGAACCCCGTCTGCACTTCGTACTCCCCGCCACCCCCATACATCCCCTTAAACACGGCGCTGTATTTTTCAAACATCTCTTGCGTCTCTTCGGCCACTTTTATCATAGATTCGATCCACTTCATAGCCAGCTGATGGGCAGTTTTTTGTGCCTCGGGGTACTTAGTGTTCTCCAGTCCTAGAATCACCATGGACTGGGAGGGCGGCCACGCGTTGGGAAAATCCCACTGTTCGCCAGTTTCAAAGAGCGACGCCGGAATTCCACCTTCATAGCTCATTATGTTCATCATCTTCAAGTACTTAACTGCTTGTTGTGCGTAGGTCTCTGTCATTTCCGCGTCGTACGCTTGACACCATAGAGGAGCGAAGTTGCTGGGATAGAAGTGCTTCCTTTGCACTCGCAGTTCGATGTCGTAGTCGTACCAGATCCCGTCGTCTTGGTTGTAAAGCACGTCTTTGATGGCTTGTTTGAACTCCAAGTGTTTGCCTAACCAGAAAAGGGCTTTTTGTTTCTCTCGGAGCTTGATGTAGAAGTCGTGCATCAGCAGGAAGCACCTGCAGAGGATGGCGTTGAGGTCCACTGGAATGATGCGGGTTGGTTTGATGGTGGAGAGGTCGGCTTGGTTGCCACCTTGACCGTCGAAGAACCACCGACCTGAAAAATCCCACCCGGTTTCAGCTCCCGTTCTTAAGTTCATATAGCACTGTCTTTTCTCATCTTCGCTTCTGTATCTAGAGGCAGTGTGTACGTCTTCTATGTAAGACTCAGGTCTTGGACTATCGTCGCTGGATTGATAGCGTGCCATTTGATACCTCCGACCACCTTTGTCTATTTGGATCGTCTTCGTGGTGAGCCAAAAATTCAGCTCTTTTTCGATGAGTTGGATGTTGTTTCTCAACCAGATAATGTCATTCGTTGCATCTAGATAAGCAGCTACCATGAAGGTAAGCAAGGGCGGTTGCGACCGGTCCAGGTAGTAAATGCGACCACCATTTGGTATGAAACCATAGGACTCTACTATGCTGAAAAAGTTTTCGATCATTCCTTTCGAGGTATGTTTCATGTCACAAATTAACAACCCCTTGATTATCCAGTAGGAGTCCCAGTAGTAGATTTCTCGGAAGCGCCCTCCCGGTACTATAAATCCGTTTGGCAGCGGTATGATGGAGTACTTCTGGGAGTTCTGAATCACCTCTGGTTTGATTTTCCTACCTAAAACCGGCCACATGTCCAAGAGTCGTTTCGCCATACCGCGTATCCTCATATTCCTGATTTTCCGCAAGAAAGGCGGACTTATTTGGTAGTCCGTTGGGTACCAAGTGTCCAGTTCGTTGGTGGATGCTTGGAAATTGTTTTGGACGAATTCGACGATGTCGTTCTTGCCTGGATTCCCTTGAGTCTTGCCCATCAGCCTATCAAAGTTCTTCAACGTGCGTTCGACGCTCTTGATCAAACTCATATCCACGAAAGTCTTGGAGTCCTTGAAGATCCCAGCCATTTGCACTACGCGTAGAAGATCACCTTGACAGTAAATCGGACTTTTGCATATACTTTTTTGACTTAGTATCGATTTAGACAACAGTAGAAACACGGACGCGAGAAGAAAAACGTTCATGACCAATACACACGAATTCAGCCGGGACAAGCATCGTTCCACATTTTACGCTTACGCAACTTATAATTTTAACAGGCACATTCGGTTGAAAGAGACAGCACGGGATTAATTTTGACACTTGATAGCTGCTAGAAAGGGAACTGTAGTACCGGTCGTACTACAACGAAACTAATTTTAGAAAAACGTTTATTTATTTTATAATAGTAATAATACAGATAGGGTGAGTACTGCGTCACCTTTTTTTCTTGGTGTAGTAGCGATTGATGAGTTGGAAGAGTACCCCATTAGTCCATCCGAAGCCACTCTGGACTGTGTATTCGCCCCCATTCCCTGACTCCCCGAAGTGTTGAACGTCGTACTTTTCGAACATCTTCTGCGTTTGGTAGAAGCATTCCAAGTTAGAGTGTAGCCATTTCTGGGCTAAAGCTTCGGCAATCTTTTGGGCTTTGGGGTCCCGGCTTTGGTCCAACCCGAAAATCACCATAGCTTGCAAAGGCGGCCAGGCGTTGGGGTAGTCCCATTGCTCCCCACTCGGAGTCAAAGACGTGGGAAGACCACCATCAAAATCCAACACCCCCTGAGTGACTAAATACCCAGCTGCTTTGTGTCCCACTTCTTCAGCTTTATCCAAATTGTAGACCCCAGCCCATAGTGGTACGAAATTACTCAAATAGAACAAACGTCTCGGTTTACCCATCACGTTGTCCCAGTCGTACCAAATACCATCCTCTTTGTGGTAAAACACCGCTTCGATATTTTTCCTCCAGTCGTCTCCCTTTTCCATCCAGTACCCAGAGCGTTCCTCATTCCCCAAAAGCGAGTAAAGTTTCCCCAGTTTTAAGAAAGCTTGACAAAGAAAGGCGTTGAGGTCGACCGGGATGATCCTACTAGTGTGAATATCAGCCAAATTGGCGTTGGTACCACCGTACTGGTCGACGATCCAACGGGACGAAAAATCCCAACCACTTTCAGCAGCACTGTTCAAACTTTCAAACAAAATTGTTCGTTTTTCGTGGTTAGGGAGTGAGGATGCTGTTGTCATGTCTTCAAAGTAGGATTCGGGGCGTGGGGTACCGAAGTGTGAAACGTAGTGTGCTAGATGGTACTTCGTACCGTTTTTAACAACGTGGGTCAGTCTGTTCTTGAGGAAAAAGTGTAACTCGAGGTCTAGAAACTTAATATTTTGGTTTAACCACTGGATGTCGTTTGTAGCGGTTATGTATGACGCCACCATTAGGGTTAGTAGGGGTGGTTGTGACCGGTTTAGATAGTAGATACGAGACCCATTAGGCACGAAGCCGTACTTCTTTACCATGAAGACAAAATTGTCTAAAATTCCACGCACGGTGGTGTACATTTCACACAACAAGAGTCCTTCGACGATCCAATAGGTGTCCCAGTAGTAGAACTCTCGGAAACGACCTCCGGGTACTATAAACCCGTTCTTTACGGGTATTATGGTGTACAATTGCGACGACTTTAAGACTTCTGGTCGTACCTTTCGTGCCAATTGTGGCCAAATCTTCACCAAATTCGTGGTAAAGTTTCGTATTTCATTGTCAGTGATGTGTGACAAAATTTCCGGTGAGGGGGTAAAGTCTGGTGGTACCCAGTTCTCGAATTCGCTGTGTTTTTGGAAGTTTTCTGAAACGAATTTCTTGGTTTGGGTTTTGTTCGGTTTTTGCTGGTTGGTGTTGAGGAATCGCCGGAAGTTTCGAAGGGTTGTTTTTTCGTCGTGGATCATTTTTAGGTCGACGAAGGTTTTGGAGTCGGGGAAGATGCGTGCCATTTGGACTGTGTGAAGCAAGGGGCCTTGGCAGAAGACTCGGCTGGTGCATAAAGTGGCCGGTGCGGGTTGGACGGAGTGGAAGATTAGAAGAATGAAGATCATTTTCGGGTTCTTCAGGTGGTACTTGAAGAATCGAACTCTGAAAGAGACGAAGACGAAATATGTGTAAGAAGTGTGGGTTGATGGGAGACCGGTTTTTGAAAAACGTTGATAAGGAGGTAATTAGTACCTATCTTTAGTTTTCTTTATTACGTTTAATGTTTCTTGTATTTGTAACAAAACAGCATTCCAACTTTACCTTTTTGTGCAAAGCGATAAGGCGTTTTTGCTCATTAGTTAGTCGATTAATGGTGCGATTGTTGCATAATTGTACAAATCGGTACTACTTGGTATTAGTTCGTGTGCAGCCTTTAACGTTTCGACTTTTCTTTGTTTTGAACGGTTAAAATGAATCTTTTGTTCTGCGGGTGTCGTGAAAAAAGTGTTAATAAAGAAGTTTCAAAATCTGATTCAGGATTTCGATTAGTGGTGAGTACTTTTTTGTGAGTACTTACGTGACATTAATCCGGCACTGATGGCACTAGGACTTGAAATGAAACAATCTGTGGAGTTTGTCAACGTGACAAGGAATTAGTTCGTGACTAAACTGTTTCAGCGTTTTAGCCTAGTGCCTCCCAAGGACGTTCATTTTGTTTTAAAATATTTCGCATATCCATATTTAATTTTTATGGTGATCGTAAAGATCTTGCTATGGGTAATGCGTGTGGTGGTTATCTTTGAGAATTTAGGTTCGTTTGCACGCATTGTCGCTAAAAGTGTTGTAAACGAACATTATTTTTTTATGTAAAAAATTGGTCGAAAGTTATTTCGACAGAACTTCCCTGGCTTCTGAAGTACAGTCCAACGAATACTGCTTCTCCGAAAAATTATAAAATTTGATTTGTGTAATAAAAAAAAGGTTTCACCTTCTCAAAAAATGACAGTTGAAGTCCCGAGAAGATTTAATATTTTTAAAGGAAGACACCTGGGGTCTCCGAGAAGGTTTCGTCTACTTTAAAAAGGACAGTTGGTACCACCGTGAAGGTTCCACATTCTTAAAAAAAGACAGTTAGGGTTTCCGAGAAGGTTTCACATTTAAAAAACAAAAGACATTTGGGGTCCTCGAGAAGGTTTCACATTCTTAAAAAAAATAGTTGGGACCTCCGAGAAGGTATCACATTTTCAAAAAAGACGTTTGGCGCCCCCGAGAAGGTTTTACATTTTTAAAGAAGACAGTTGGACCCTCGAGAAGGTTTCACATTGTTAAAAAAGACATTTGGCCTTCCCGAGAAGGTTTTACATTATTAAAAAAGAGATTTGGGACCCCCGAGAAGGTTTCACATTCTGAAAAAAAAGACAGTTGGGACCCCCGAGAAGGTTTCACATTCTTAAAAAATACATTTGGCGCCCCCGAGAAGGTGATACATTAAAAAAAAAATTAGTTGGGACCCCCGAGAAGGTTTCACACTAAAAAACAGACATTTGGGGCCCCCGAGAAGGTACCACATTTAAAAAAAAAATACATTTAGCGCCCTCGACAAGGTTATACATTAAAAAAATGAGTTGGGATCCGCGAGAAGGTTTCACACTAAAAAAAAGATAGTTGGAACCACCACTTTTTAAAAAGACGTTTGGCGCCCCCGAGGAGGTTTTATATTTTTAAAGAAGACAGTTGGAACCCTCGAGAAGGTTTCAAATTGTTAAAAAAGACATTTGGCATTCCCAAGAAGGTTTTACATTTTAAAAAAAGAGAGTTGGGGCCCCCGAGAAGGTTTCACACTAAAAAAAATACATTTAGCGCCCCCGAGAAGGTTATACATTAAAAAAAAGAATTGGGACCTCCGAGAAGGTTTCACACTAAAAAAAAGATAGTTGGGACCACCGAGAAGGTATTACATTTTTTAAAAAGACGTTTGGCACCCCCGAGAAGGTTTTATATTTTTAAAGAAGACAGTTGGAACCCCCGAGAAGGTTTCAGATTGTTAAAAAAGACATTTGGCCTTCCCGAGAAGGTTTCACATTTTTAAAAAAGGGAGTTGGGACTCCCGAAAAGGTTTCACATTCTTAAAAAATATACATATTTGGGGCCCCCGAGAAGGTTATACATTAATAAAAAGAGTTGGGACCCCCGAGAAGGTTTCACACTAAAAAAAAGATAGTTGGGACCACCGAGAAGGTATTACATTTTTTAAAAAGACGTTTGGCGCCCCCGAGAAGGTTTTACATTTTTAAAGAAGACAGTTGGAACCCCCGAGAAGGTTTTACATTTTTAAAAAAGAGAGTTGGGGCCCGCGAGAAGGTTTCACACAATAAAAAAAAGCCATTTTGGGCTCCCGAGAAGGTACCACATTTAAAAAAAAATACATTTAGCGCCCCCGAGAAGGTTATACATTAAAAAAAAGAGTTGGAACCCCCTAGAAGGTTTCACACTAAAAAAAGATAGTTGGAACCCCCGAGAAGGTATCACATTTTTTAAAAAGACGTTCGGCGCCCCCGAAAAGGTTTTACATTTTTAAAGAAGACAGTTGGAACCCTCGAGAAGGTTTCAAATTGTTAAAAAAAGACATTTGGCATTCCCGAGAAGGTTTTATATTAAAAAAAAGAGAGTTGGGGCCCTCGAGAAGGTTTCACACTAAAAACATACATTTAGCGCCCCCGAGAAGGTTATACATTAAAAAAAGAGTTGGAACCCCCTAGAAGGTTTCACACTAAAAAAAAAGATAGTTGGGACCCCCAAGAAGGTGTCACATTTTTTAAAAAGACGTTTGGCGCCCCCGAGAAGGTTTTACATTTTTAAAGAAGACAGTTGGAACCCCTTATAAAGTTTTACATTTTTAAAAAAGAGAGTTGGGGCCTCCGAGAAGGTTTCACACTAAAAAAAAGACATTTTGGGTTCCCGAGAAGGTACCACATTTAAAAAAAAAATACATTTAGCGCCCCCGAGAAGGTTATACATTAAAAAAAAGAGTTGGAACCCCCTAGAAGGTTTCACACTAAAAAAAGATAGTTGGGACCCCCGAGAAGGTATCACATTTTTTAAAAAAACGTTCGGCGCCCCCGAAAAGGTTTTACATTTTTAAAGAAGACAGTTGGAACCGCCGAGAAGGTTTCAAATTGTTAAAAAAAGACATTTGGCATTCCTGAGAAAGTTTTATATTAAAAAAAAAAAGAGTTGGGGCCCCCGAGAAGGTTTCACACTAAAAACATACATTTAGCGCCCCCGAGAAGGTTATACATTAAAAAAAGAGTTGGAACACCCTAGAAGGTTTCACACTAAAAAAAAGATAGTTGGGACCCCCGAGAAGGTATCACATTTTTTAAAAAGACGTTTGGCGCCCCCGAGAAGGTTTTACATTTTTAAAGAAGACAGTTGGAACCCCCTATAAAGTTTTACATTTTTAAAAAAGAGAGTTAGGGCCTCCGAGAAGGTTTCACACTAAAAAAAAGACATTTTGGGTTCCCGAGAAGGTACCACATTTAAAAAAAAAATACATTTAGCGCCCCCGAGAAGGTTATACATTAAAAAAAAGAGTTGGAACCCCCTAGAAGGTTTCACACTAAAAAAAAGATAGTTGGGACCCCCGAGAAGGTATCACATTTTTTAAAGAGACGTTTGGCGCCCCCGAAAAGGTTTTACATTTTTAAAGAAGACAGTTGGAACCCCCGAGAAGGTTTCAGATTGTTAAAAAAGAAATTTGGCCTTCCCGAGAAGGTTTTACATTTTTAAAAAGAGATTTGAGACCCCCGAGAAGGTTTCGCGTTCTTAAAAAATGACAGTTGGGATCCCCGAGAAGATTTCACATTCTTAAAAAATACATTTAGCGCCCCCGAGAAGGTTATACATTAAAAAAAAAGAGTTGGAACCCCCGAGAAGGTTTCACACTAATAAAAAACATTTGGGCCCCCGAGAAGGTTTTTGCATTTTTAAAAAAGACGGTTGGGACCCCCAAGAATGTTTTACATTCTTAAAAAAAGACATTTGGGGCCTCTGAGAAGGTTGTACATTTTTAAATAATATATATATTATTAATAATCTCACCTTTTCGAGAAAGTGCGGTTATTTCATCAATAAAAAAATTGTTACGACGTCATAAACATAGATAATACACAATAGGAGAGAAAACGAGAAAAAAAAACGAAAAAACCGAAAGGCCAAGTTTGGAATCGAACGCGCGACGTCCGTTTTGCATTCCTGACTCATAACCACTAGGTCATCACCGGGATGCGTTATGCTAATGGTAAACTGTTATTATACCGTGCTTTATGTTTTTGCAAAAATTTGGACGGTTAGGGAAAAACTTAATGCGGATTCATACACCACACTTATAGGATTATATTGTTGTATAACAGTTAAATCAAATAAACATAGAATTCTTTGAAATGACGTCATCAAATTGTTGGTGGGAATGATTAGCAAATTTTTGGTTAGCATTTAACCATGTACATAATATTTCTAATATACAGACAAAATATGACAACAATTGGGCCAGCAGTTTCGGAGATTACGTGTGTAATAAAAAGGGATACACACACATATACAGATAGACAGACAGACGGAAACGGGAGACTACTTTTTTCGTACTCTAGGGGTCCTGAAACATCGAGAAAATATAAAAGTAGCCATTCGTCCGATGGACTCGAATACTATACTTCCTTAGCTTACGCTCGGAAAGTAACTTGCCGCTGTTGTTGTTTGTCGTTGACGTTGCCGTTGTAAGATAAAAGTGGGATTTATAAATTTACTGTTGACGTTGAAGTTCCCGTTGCAGTTGCTGTTCCCGTTGACGTTGCTTTTAGAGCTAAAAATTGCAATTTATAAACTCCGTTTTACCATTTTAGACATGTTTTAAGTTTCTTGTTGTCAAAATAAGTGTGGTCTACACATATTAAGAAAAAGAGGCTAAATGTAGCCCCGCCCACCCACCCTATCTCATTTGTGATATTGTTTTTTATGCGTCGTGAACCAAGAACGCGGAGCTTAACTGCAAAATCCTTATTTACGAGAAATTAAAAAAATCATCACAACTGAGATGGGGTGGGTGGGTGGGGTTTATATTTTGCCTTTTGTTCTTAATATACACAGTATTCTTTGAACAACACGATACTCAAAGCATGTTTTAAATTTCTTTTAAAGAAATAAGTATTTTGCAGTTAAGCTTGGTTCACGACGAATAAAAAAAATCATCACAATTGAGATAGGGCGGGTGGGCGGGCTGACATTTTGCCTTTTTGTTTTAATATGTGTAGACTTCTTTTCACAGCATGAAGCTTAAAACCTGTTTAAAATGGAAAATTTGTATAAGGAAATACTTGCAAAATCCACATTTTCTTGCAAAAATCTTTAACCATGTTCTAAGTTTCTTCTTGTGAAAAGATGGCTATGTATATTAAGAAAAAAAAAGCCAAATATCAGGGGATTTTCCTTCAAGTTGGCACCACTGCACACTAAGTGATGCCAACTTGAAGGAAAATCCCCTAAAGTAGGGGGGGCATTTTTCTGGTAGGCAGCACTAATGTAATTCGAAGAAAATCAAATTTTGATAAAGATAATTTTGCCTTTTTTTCGTAATATGTGTAGTTATCTTTTCACAAAATGATATTTCCCTATACAAATTACCATTTTAACCATGTTTTAAGTTTCTTGTTGTGAAAAGATGGCTATATATATATTAAGAAAATAAAGGGAAACTATAAGCCCCGCCCACCCGCCCGTCTCTATTCTGATGATTTTTTTTATTCGTCGTAAACCTAGAGGGCGTAGCTTAACTGCAAAATACTTATTTCTTTACAAGAAGTTAAAAACATGTTTTTGAGTATCGTGTTCAAAGAATACTACGTATGTTAAGAAAGAAAAGAAAAATATATAACCCGCCCACCCACCCCATCTCAATTGTGATAATTTTTTTATTCTTACAAACTTAAAACACGTTTAAAATGGTAAATTTTTGTAGGGAAATACGGATTTTGCAATTAGGCTCCGCCTCTCAGTCTGGCAACGAATGAAAACTTCATTATTACATATTTAGATTAGGACAGGTATGGGTGGTGCTTAATCTTTGGCTTTAATTTTTTCTTAATATACGCAGTATTCTTAGAACAACACGATATTCCATTTCTCGTAGAGAAATAAGGATTTTGCAGTTAAGTTACACCCCTCTAGCTCACGACGAATAGAAAAAAATCATCAGAATTAAGATGGTGTGGGCGGGCGGGGCACATTTTGCCTTTTGTTTTTAATATGTGTAGTGATCTTTTCATAACAAGAAACTTAAAACATGTTTAAAATGGTAAATTTGTATAGGGAAATATCAATTTTGCAATTACACTCCGCCCCTCGGTCCGATAACGAATGAAAAATTCATCACGATTGAGATCGAGACGGATGGGTGGGGCTTCTCTTTTGGTTTTCTTTTTTAATTAATACATTCAGTTTTCTTTGTATAACACGATTACTGCTAGTAATTTTTCGTAGAAAAATAAGAATTCTACAATTAAACTCCGCCGCTCAGCTCGCCACGAATAAAAAGATCGTCAGAATTGAGATAGGGGGCTTTATATTTTTCCTTCTTTTTCTTAATATACATAGCCCTCTTTTCACAACAAGAAACTTAAAACATGGTTAAAATGGTACGTTTTTGCAAAGAAATACGGATTTTGCAATTATGGGGCGGAGCCTAATTGCAAAATCGATATTTCCTTATACAAATTTACTCTTTTAAACATGTTTTAAATTTCATGTTGGGAAAAGAAGTCTACACATATTAAAACAAAAAGACATGGTGTAAGCCCGCCCACCCGCCCTATCTCAATTGTGATGATTTTTTTTATTCGCCGTGCACCAAGAGGGTGGAGCTTAACTGCAAAATACTTATTTCTTTACAAGAAATTAACGAGATTTTTTGGATTCGGTGTTATTCAAAGAATACTACATTGTTAAGAAAGAAAAGCAAAATATATACCCCGCCCACCCACCCCATCTCAATCGTGATAATTTTTTTATTCTTAGAAACTTAAAGCACGTTAAAATTGGTAAATTTTTGTAGGAAAATATGGATTTTGCAATTAGGCTCCGCCTTTCAGTCTGACGACGAATAAAAAATTCATCACAATTGAGCTTGGCATGGATATGGGTGGGGCTTAATTTTTTGTTTGTTTTTCTTCTTAATATACATAGTATTTTTTGAACAACACAATACTCAAAATCGTTCTTAGAGGGAAATAAGGAGTTTGCAATTAAGCTCCGCCCCTCGGCTTACGACGAATAAAATAAATCATCAGAATTGAGATAGGGTGGATGGGCGGGGCTTATATTTTGCCTCTTTTCTAATGTATATAGCCATCTTTTCACAACAAGAAACTTAAAACATGGTTAAAATGGTACGTTTTTGCAACGAAATATGGATTTTACAATTATGAGGCGGAGCCTAATTGCAAAATCGACATTTCCTTATACAAATTTTCTATTTTAAACATGTTTTAACTTTCATGTTGTGAAAAGAAGTCTACACATATTAAAACAAAAAGACAAAATGTAAGCCCGCCCACCCGCCCTATCTCAATTGTGGTTTTTTCTTTATTCGCCGTGAACCAAGAGGGTGGAGCTTAACTGCAAAATACTTATTTCTTTACAAGAAACTAACAACATTTTTTGGATTCCGTGTTATTCAAAGAATACTACATTGTTAAAAAAGAAAAGCAAAATATATACCCCGCCCACCCACCCCATCTCAATTGTGATGATTTTTTTATTCTTAGAAACTTAAAACACCTTTAAAATAGTAAATTTTTGTAGGGAAATATAGATTTAGCAATTAGGCTCCGCCTTTCAGCCTGACGACGAATGAAAAATTTATCACAATTGAGGTTGGGATGGATATGGGTGGGGCTTAATTTTTTGTTTGCTTTTCTTCTTAATATACATAGTATTCCTTGAACAACACAATACTCAAAATCGTTCTTGTAGAGAAATAAGGAGTTTGCAATTAAGCTCCGCCTCTCGGCTTACGACGAATAAAAAAAAACTCATCAGAATTGAGATAGGGTGGGTGGGCGGGGCTTATATTTTGCCTTTTTTTTTAATGTACATAGCCATCTTTTCACAATAAGAAACTTAAAACATGGTTAAAATGGTACGTTTTTTCAAGGAAATATGGATTTTGCAATTATGGGGCGGAGTCTATTTGCAAAATCGATATTTCCTCATACAAATTTTCTATTTTAAACATGTTTTAAGTTTCATGTTGTGAAAAGAAGTCTACACATATTAAAACAAAAAGGCAAAATGTAAGCCCGCCCACCCGCCCTATCTCAATTGTGATGATTTTTTTTATTGGCCTGGTACCAAGAGGGTGGAGCTTAACTGCAACATACTTATTTCTTTACAAGAAATTAACAACATTTTTTGGATTCCGTGTTATTCAAAGAATACTACGTTGTTAAGAAAGAAAAGCAAAATATGTACCCCGCCCACCCACCCCATCTCAATCGTGATGATTTTTTTTTTTCTTAGAAACTTAAAACACGTTTAAAATGGTAAATATATATTTAGATCAGGGCAGGTAGGCGTGGCTTTAATTTTTTCTTAATATACTAGCATTTTTTAAGCTATGATTGATTTTGACACTTTTGACATCTTAGACATTTTCTTGTAGATTTAGACATCTAGAAATCATTTTCGGCTTCGTTTCTTCCCAAATTTCTATCGTTCTTCCAAAGACGTCAATTGAAATATAGCAATTTTTACAGTTCCAGTAGCAAATAGTATAGCAAAAAATTTACGATTAGCGCTTTTTCCCCTTTTTTCACATCCTAGATTCTATTAGTTTCCACTCTCACTTCATAGGGTACCATAATTAGCCCCGCCCACCCACCCTGCCTTCATTTCAGTGATTTTTTTATCCGGTCTGAAGGAAATGAATGATCTTATACTGAGTAGAAATAAAATTAGTGCTGAGAATGACAAGACTGGGCGTGGGCGGGGCTAGTACTTGCTATGATAAAACTGATTTTGGTAAATAACATACCCTCCAAGAAAATAGAGGGCGGGTGGGCGGGGCTAGTGTTTGATAAGATAAGACTGTTTTTGGCAGATGACATGTCTTCCAAGAAAATAAGGGCGGGTGGGCGGGGCTAGCATTTTATAAGATATGACTGATTTTGACACTTTCGATCATTTTTCAATTACTTTCGAAAATTAGCTAGACATTTTCTTGTAGATTTCGAAATGGTATTCTTCGAACAATACAATACTCAAAAACATGTTTTTAATTTCTCGTAGAGAAATAAGCATTTTGTTAAGTTCCGCCCACTCGACTCACGACGAATAAGAAAAAATCATCACAATTGAGACAGGGTGGGTGGGCGGGGCTACATTTTGTCTTTTTTTCTTAATATTTGCAGACTTATTTCGACAACAAGAAACTTAAAATGTGTCTAGAGTATAAATGACAATTTTCAGCTCTAAAAGCAACGTCAGTGGGAACAGCAACTGCAAGTTTATAAATCCCACTATACTTGTAATCGATCGCCAAAAATAAACCACATGACACACTTAACAATAATTTATTTATCATTTTGACCTACAACAATATAACTTACTCCGATATCACATTTAATAAATAAAAAAATACTTTTTCAAATTACGCCATCTTCTTGGACGTCGTGGTAAAGAACCTTTCTATAAACTCAAACACGACACCATTCGTCCACCCAAACCCGCTTTGTACTTTGTATTCTCCCCCTCCACCATACTGTCCAGGGTTCTCAGCGTCGTACTTCTCAAACATCTCGTTGGTCTGGTTGTACCCAATCATATTAGCCACAATCCACCTGTGTGCGAACTCTTTCGCAATCGACTTCGCCTTACAATTCCCAGTTTTGTCCAAACCCATTACCACGATGGACTGTAGTGGTGGCCAAGCGTTGGGGTAGTCCCATTGCTCACCCGTATGTCTAACCGACGTCGGGATACCACCTTGGTAGTTCATCAGTTCCTGGCTGTCAAAATAGTCGGCCGCCCTCTGTCCCAACACTTCTGCGTTTTGAAGTTCGTATGTTTCAGACCACAATGGGGCAAAATTTGAAGCGAAGAAGATCTTCCTGTGTTGACCCAGAACGTTGTCCCAGTCGTACCAAATGCCGTCTTCTTCGTTATAAAGAACGTCCTGGATGTTCTTCTGCCAGATGCTTGCCATCTCGAACCAGTAGACGGCGTTTTCGAAGTCGTGGATGATCACGTAGAGTTCTCCTAGTTTGCGGAACGCTTGGCACAGGAAGGCGTTGAGGTCGACCGGGATGATTCTTCGGGTTTGCAGGGAGGTCAGGTTGGCGTTGGCGGTACCATTTTCGTCTACTATCCACCTACTGGAGAAGTCCCAGCCGCTTTCGGCGCCGCTCTTCAAGTCCGCGTACAACTGGATCCTGTCTTCTTCGTTGGGAAGGCGCCTGGCGGTGTCGACGTCTTCGTAGTAGGACTCAGGACGCGGGCTACCACTTTCAGAGTCGTAGTGGGCTAGAGTATAATTAATCCCGTTTTTGGGAACAGTCACCACCTTATTGTCCAACCAGAACCTCAACTCTTTATCTAGAGTTTTGATGTTGTTGAGCAACCAAGTCGTATCGTTAGTCGCTTGGATGTACGTAGCAGCCATGAGAGTCAGAAGCGGCGGCTGCGACCTATTCAGGTAGTATATCCTAGCACCATTGGGCAAAAACCCGTACTTCTCCACAATCGACAAGAAATTATCCAACATACCTTTAACAGTATCGTACATTTCGCACACCAAAAGCCCCTTGATAATCCAATAGGAGTCCCAATAGTAAAACTCCTTGAACCGCCCCCCGGGTACAATAAACCCGTGTTCCACTGGCAAAAGCGTGTACAACTCAGGCGTGTCGAAGACCTCTTGCTTCACTTTTCGGGCAAGTTTGGGCCAAATTGCCACCAACTTACTTGCGAAATTTCTGATTTCCGTGTCGGCTATCTTGGACAGAATTTGCGGGTTTGGGGTATAGTCCGAAGGCACCCAGTCCTCGAACTCGTTGCCCTCTTCAAAATTGTCGCTAACGAACTGCTGCACCTCCTCCTTTGTCGGGTTGTTGTTGGTGTTGGTGATGAAAACGTCGAAGTTGTCAAGGGTCGTTTTTTCGTCATGCTTCAGTTTCATGTCGACGAAGGTTTTGGAGTCTTCGAAGGGTTTGGCCATTTGGATGGTGTGCAAGAGGTCGCCTTGGCAGTAGATCTTGCTGTCGCATGACGGCTGGGTTTGGGCAAGGGCATGGGCGACGAAAACGAGGAAGAGTAAAGGGCCCATTTTGCGGATTTCTGAGAAAAAACACGAACGTTAAGTTTGCTCGAAATAGGAATGGAATGTTGATTTACTACGACAATTAAGTGAGTTATTTTTATAAATACATGAGATAAGGAGATAATATTTGAGATAGAGTTTCAGTTTGCAAAACAGTCAGAATTAAGTACGTGTACGTACCTACGTCGAACTTTCTTTCTTCGATAACCGATAATGACTGATTTTGGTCTCTAGGTCACCGACTTAGAAATTTTCCACTCAATATACATATATCATCTACAGATTTATAGTAGTATGGTTTTTTCGGTTCCCTTTTTATACCAAAATTGTACTGAATGGAAATTCCGTAAACCTGGCAATTTATCAGTTCTTGATACATAATGAAGATTATTATTATCGTACATAGCACCTTAGAATACATATATGTATCTCAAAACTACAATCGCACAAATTAGACTTGTTAATGCTTCGAAACTCTAAACCTGGTGGTTTCTTATAATGAGGGTAAAACGTAAATGTGGTGCACAGACTCGGAATTAACAATAACAAATTAGTGGAATATTTGTATGGGAAAGGTTATCATTTTAATTAGTATATATATACATATCTATGATAAATTATAAATTTAATTGGACATTTAAAGATATTTGCTATTTGATGATAGTTTCAACGATAGTATACGACAATTTTCAGAAAGGCGGCACATGTAATACATAAAAAATATACGATGTTATAAACCAATGTAGTTCTAAAATCACCAAGAATAAAAAACTAAACTATTTAATATTCACTGGCTGACTTAATCGACTTTCTAGTTGACCTTTACAGCAGTGAGCCCGACAAAGGTCACCCTGTATACTAGCTGCATTCCAACAGTGCTAAGTTGTAATATACCAACGCACTCAATCAAATCCCCTCCACCTGTTAAATAATTTTTGGAAAAAAAAGTTAATTTATCCACAAACCTTGACATCGTACAACTTTACCGAGCGTATCGATAATCACGTTTTTTGTAGCCCCAATACATACAATTTTTTCTCACCACCGTATCTAGCAATTAAAAAATTAAAATATTCGCACCATATCGCCCGCATTACAAATTAAACAAACATTTAGCAAGTAGTATTTTCCAAAACATTGACCCAATCGCCGCCATAAAACTAATATTACGCCATTAACGGGAATTTTTCTAATAGTTGCCAAATATCTGCCAACAATTACACGGAAGTAAAACACTATCTAATTCAAACAAAAACTCACACAGAATTTACGCTCAGTTCGCCATCCGCCAAATCACGAACTTTAAACACAACTAGACACGACTGAGTTCCTTTTATTCTTTTAATTCCACCTTTTACATATTATTAAATCTCGATTGGATTTTTATAACTTGTCGGCGAGAATAATAGCCGACTGTTTTTTAATAGTTTCCTCGTTTGTTTGTGGCGGATTTGACTTGATTTATTGGCAATAAGCGATAATGATAATTGATATTGCTGGATTTGTGGTTAATTAGCGTTTAATTGTGGTTGGAAGAGGGGGTCGGTTTCACTGTCGTCGAGTGTATTTTCGCCACAAACTAGTTTTCGGATTTGCAGTGCTTGATGAACGCATCTCCCATTATAAAACCATAATGATTTTGTTTTTATAAATAATAACGTGATTTTTTTGTTTGTCCTTGACAGTTCGACCGAAAGTCACAGGTGTCACACTAATTTTCTAATTGTGTTTGACACAACTAATGTGGTCACATTCCGTGACAATTTTGCGATGGTAGTGGACACTATTTTGATGGTGTTTATATAATAATTAATTATATGGTAATTATAGTAAATTGTTTTGAATAGTCTTCCTTATTCAAATGATTGTAATCAAATTGTTTGATGTATCCCCAAGAATGCGCTTAGAGGTACGCACGTGTGTTTTTTCGAAACAAAAATTTCAAAATTGACGTTAAAAAATTAGAATAATTCATGAAAAAGTGTTGTTTAGTTGTTGGCTGTTTCGTAACACAAACAAATAAAAGTTCTTGAAACTAACAAAAAATTTTTTGTGGTAACTGAGCAAGAAGGCACGGATGGTTTTTTAGACTTCGGCTTGTCCTTCCTCTAAATTTGTATACATTTTTGCGGCTGAAACATAATAAATGTGTCATAGACGAATAAATATAATTATTTTGTTATTTATGGTATATTTTAATCAATAGTAACACTGGCGTATTTGCATAAAGCACTTATCATTGTTCAGCAGAATTTGTATTAAAATAACCGAACTTAAATCCAATATTTAAAATAGAATACAGACCTGAAACGAAATAGTGTTTTCACGATGTTAAATACACATTTATGTGTAATTAAGGAACACTTAAACCCGGTTCGATGACAAACTTTCTATAATTTTACTTGTATTTTTTTTACCGTGCCCCCTAGTTTTTTAATTTGTCTAAGTTTTCTATTGTAGTTTCTCTCTAACGAACTTATTTGTGTTACGAAATCGCAGCGTGACTAAGTCATCTTTCTTTAATCATATTTTACGACTTAGTTTATTAGCTGCTATAATCCTCCATGTAATTTTTCTGCGAAGTCGTAATAGGGAGTGTTTCTATTTGTTAAACAAACATAGTTTTTTTTAAGTTAAAAAATTGCATCATTGCAAATACTGGTCACTATCAGGTTAATAACTTGTCTTTTTAGTTTACTTAAATTCCACTTTTCGTCTCTAGTACACGACAATTTTCGGAGAGGCGGCACATGTAGTATCTAACCCGTTTTTGAAGTGTGCGGAGTATTGATCTAAATGATCATTGGGAAAAGTGTATTTTTAGGATTGTTTGTATCTTTGGCAAATAGTGGTAAATAAGTTACTTAATGATAATGGCACACTAAAGTCAATAATAGTTTTAATAAACACTTTATAAATAATGATGAAATTTACAAATACTGTAAATAAACATATTTCAAATACTTTCGGTTTTAGAAGTGGTAATCTCAGGTTAATTTCGTTTCGTTTTTAGAAGTAGCATACAACTGAATAGAGAAGTCGAGATTTTAATTGTTTTAATGCAATAAAGAATCTCGAGGTCCAAATTTTGTTTCGTTTTTAGAAATAACAATTTTGGGAGTCAATTTTATTTAATTTTTAGAAATAGCAACCTCGATTTTAGACACAGCATACAACTCAATGGGGAACCTCGAGATTACAATTTTGTTTCATTTTTAGAAGTAGAAATCTCGGGAGATAAGTGCATTTCCAATTTATAAATAGTATCAAACAGAATAAAGAATCTCGAGGTGGCAATTTAGTTTCGTTTTTGGAAATAACAATCTTGAGGGTTAATTTTGTTTCATTTTTAGAAGTAGCAGTCTCGAGGGTTACTTTTGTTTCTATTTTAGCAACATCATACAACAGAATAAAAAACCTCGAGATCCCGATACTCTTTTATTTTTAGAAGTAGAAATCTCGGGGGCTAATTGCGTTTCCAATTTATAAATAATATCAAACAGAATAAAGAATCTGGAGGTCGCGATTTTGTTTCGCTTTGCGTAGTAACAATCTTGGGGGCTAATTTTGTGTCATTTTTAGTAGTATCTTGGGGATAATTTTGTTTCATTTTTAGAAGTAACAATTTCGGGAGCTAATTGTGTTTCAAATTTAGAAAAAATATCAATTAGAATAAAGAATCTCGAGATCTTGACTTTGCTTCGTTTTTAGAAATAACAATCTCTGGGGCTAATTGTGTTTGATTTTTAAAAGTAGCAATCTCGGGGGCTACTTTTGTTTTGATTTTATAAATAGCATACAACAGGCTAAAGAACGAAATCCCCACTTGCATTCGCTTTTAGAAACAACAATCTCTTTAAAATTAGCATAATACAGAATAAATAGGTTGAAGATCGATTGTGTTTCATTTTTAGAAGTAGCAATCTCGGGAAATAATTGAATTTCAAATTTAGGAGTTTCAAACAGAATAAAGAACCTTGAGATCCTGGTTTTGTTTCGTTTTTTTTTTAAATAATAATCTCGGGGGGCTAATTTTGTTTCATTTTTAGAAGTAGAAGTCTCGAGGGTTACTTTTGTTTCGATTTTAGAAATATCATAAGACAGAATAAAGAATGTCTGGAGATCGATTGTGTTTGTTTTTAGAAGTAGAAATCTCGGGGGTTAATTGCTTTTACAGTTTATATTTATAAATAGCATCAAAGAGAATAAAGAATCTCGAGGTCTCGATTTTGTTTCGTTTTTGGAAATAACAATCTTGGGGGCTAAATTTGTTTCTTTTCTAGAAGTACCAGTCTTGAGGGTTACTTTGTTACTTTTGTTTCGATTTTAGAGCTAGCGTACAACCGAAAGGAGAACTTCGAGATTTCAATTTGGTTTTTTTTAGAAGTAGAAATCTCGGGGGCTAAATTCGTTTCAAATTTATAAATAACATCAAGCAGAATAAATAATCTAGAGGTCTCGATTTTGTTTCGTTTTTAGAAATAAAAATGTTGGGGCCTAATTTTGTTTAATTTTTAGAAGTAGCAATCTCGGGGCTACTTTTGTTTCGATTACATAGGTAGCATAGGACAGAATAAAGAACATCGAGATTCCGAATTTTTCTTTCTTTTTAGAAGCAAAAATCTCGGGGGCTAATTATATTTCGATGTCAGCAATAGAACAATACAAAATAAAGAATGTCCAGAGTTTGTTTCGATTTTAGAAGTAGCAAACTCGAGCTATAATTGTTTCGATTTTAGAAATAAAATATAACAGAATAGAGGACCTTGAGATTTCAATTTTATTTTGCTCTTAGAAGTAGAAATCTCGGAGGCTAATTGGGTTTCATTTTTAGACTTAGCATTCTCCGCGCTTAAATGTTTTACAGTTTTAGAAATAGCATAGAATAAGAAACCTCGAGATCCTGGTTTTGTTTCGTTTCTATAAATAACAATCTCGGGGGCTAATTTTTTTTCGTTTTTAGAAGTAGAAATGTCGGGGGCTAATTGTGTTTCGAATTTATTAATAGTATCAAGCAGGATAAACAATATCGAGGTCGATTTTGTTTCATTTTTAGAAATAAAAATCTTGTGGGCTAATTTTGTTTAATTTTTAGAAGTAACAATCTCGGGAGATAATTATATTTCAAATTTAGAAAGAATATCAAACAGAATAAAGAATTTCTAAATCTTTACTTTGTTTCGTTTTTATAAATAATAATCTCGGGGGCTAATCATGTTTTATTCTTAGAAGTAGCAATCTCTGGGGCTAATTTTATTCGAATTTAGAAATAGCAATCTCGAGAATTATTTATGTTTCGATTTTAGAAATAGCATATAACTGAATGGAGAATCTCGAGACTTCGATTTTGTTTCG